AAATCGATTACTTCATTAAACAGGGTTAACCTGTTGATCTTTTGAATGGCAGAGTTTTGTGTTTACTTTGCGGTACGGACTGGATTCTTAAATATCACTTAACTTTCAAAGTCTATTACTCGGTACTAATTATTCGAAACTGATAATGCATTAAGCGAAAGCAAAACTCAAACTTAAATTTCTTCAAGCCATGACTCGGTCTTCAGAGCCTTGTTTAAATTAAGAATCAAATAAAGACGCATACAACATTGATAAGGAATTAATATTCCCTCATTCACTTACAAAAGACGTCTAAGAAGCTAATAACTAGGCAAGATAATTATTTACAAGATCAAAATTCAAGACCCCACAACATGAATAGACCATGATCATCAGAGGATGGCAGATTAAGAAAGATAACTCGTAAGACACCCGCACTGTAATTTAACACGGCTCATTGTGACCGGTTTACTGTTATTTTTCTATACCAGCGTTGAAATCTCCGCACGAGTAATGCTTTGTGTCTACCCACTGCAGAACTCATTCACTAAGGACGGCGGAATTTTGAAATAACTTAGATGGAAGGATAAGATGGCTGTGTTCAGGGTTGTAGCGCCGTGTACTCTGGTAGAAGTTTCAGAGGTCCTTGCTGTCTCAGACCTCTCAGACGCTGGCAAATCTGCGGATTCACCTCCGTGAAAACCTCAAATCCCTCTTTGTTAGGAGGATAATTTCAAGATTAACCCCAGAGAAGCATCTGGAGGGTGTGTATTAAATTAATCTGGTTCAGAATCGGAACCAGTTGCGGCAATGAACCTTCGGCCTCCATAAAAGACGGTGAATATCTTAACGAGCTGAGCATACTTTAAGCTTCTCAAGAACGACTAAAACACAGCTCTTATCTGCCCCGTTATTTTGTTTCTGTCCAAATTTCAGATTAGGAAGAAAAAGAACAATCTTAAATATTATATTTCAAGCTCCTGCACTAATATACTACATTTTAATATTATCCTCTGTTATAGGTCGATTCCCGGCGGTGCCCGAATTTATAACTTGTGTTGGGCAAGGCCGTGGTCTAGGCAACACGGAGTTTTCCTCCGTGGCATCCCAACAATTACTCCATTCACACACAGAAGAAGGCAATGGCAAACCACTTCTGGATCATCTGCCAAGAACGTATATGAACAGGTCCCAGTCCGAGAAAAGGATGGAAGGATCCTGTTCATATGGACCTGTCGTCAGACAGAACACTAATAATAATAATAATAGGTCTCATATGGCTATGAGAAGGCAAAGTAGACCGCATGCAACAGGTACAACTCCTCGGGTGGCCTTCGGTGCGAATGAAAAAAGAATGTATCGCGGAAGGATACATGGCAAACACTCGTCAAGACGATGTGAAAAAGAAACTGGATATTTAGAGAGATCGGACCATGTTCTTACACGACACGTTGAATAACACCCGATCAACTGATACAAGTCATTATGAGCAAGGTTTTAGTGGGTCAGCTGATGAGAACAGGTTGAACAGTGTGTTTCAAAAGTATGTCGTACAAGGAAGAAAGTATCATTCGAACAATTCCTTGCATTGTTTTCACAAGGAGAAAACTGTTTCGTTGCTGTAGACAGACTCGTTTTAACAGACCCGACTAATTCCTTTCATTTTGCTACAACACAAGATGTTCTGCTATTACCAGAGAGGAAGGTGCTTTCAAAAAAGGTGTTCACCTACATTTCGATTAAGTGTACATCATCAGAAATGAGAATTTTTACCACAAATTATTCGTTTCCCGTTACCATTCCCAAGCGAAAATTCAAACTGTCAAGCCAGTAGTCACAACAGACATTTGACTCCTTTAAAGACCAGTGGTAACTATATGTACCACGTAATTCAACAGTAAATAACTCTTAATTTTGTACTTACACCCTTGACATCATTACTATTATTACAATTAATTCCTTAAACAGCGTTAACCAGTTGATCTTTGTAATGGTGAAGTGTGGTGTTTTCTTCGCGGTACGGACCGAATTCTTATATGTTATTTAGACGAGGTTCGGCTTCAGGGGTTAACCAGTTGATCTTTGTAATGGTGAAGAGTTGTGTTTTCTTCGCGGTACGGACCGCATTCTTAAATATTTGGACAATATTCGTCGTTAATGGGTTGAACTATGTGTAAGTTATCCTACTTCTTGGATTCTATAGGGTTCCTATTCAAACAATCGGTTGGCATCTTTAGATGGGAGATCAGCATCTCGGGTTGTTTGCAAGTAAGAACACTCACGACTCAATAATAAGAACATGTTTCGAATTCTCTACGTCCTAGGTTCATCGCTTCTCGCAGACCCCTTATTCAGATGTTCATGGCCAACTCCAGGCACATGCCGAGACATAACCTTAAAATAAGCCACACCCCGACCTACACCTTCTCCACGTTTACGTATAACTTGTATAGCTAACTCAGCATCGTTAAATTTACTACGAAACTAGCAAACAGTTTACTAGATATATAGACCCAGTGCACTTACTGCCTAATTTCTTTCACAAATCAAATAACTGTTTTGTATTTCGATAATTCTCTTACGGTCTTAAGGAGGAGACGTGTATATTGATAAGTAAACGCAGAGAAATGGTACTAATTGATTCTGAATGAGAAAACAAACATGCCCAGTTGTATGTACTTAAATGTAACGGTGCAACGTACACTGATATGAGCTTATTCCAGGCTTCCACCAGTAATTTCATTTGCCATTTTTTGGGGCACACCTCTGGTTCTGACGCAAAGAAAATTCGTATAAAAATTTTAATGTCTGTCGGAGGAAATAAGCGAAAAGAATACTTTCGAGAAATTTATGTTAAAAACGATTAGATTCGCATTATTCTTACAGAGTTTCATCGCGGTTTGGTTTGCTGAATAAAGCGGTAAGCATATTTACATTTTAGTGAAGTAATTTATAATATAAATTAAAGAATTACAATGCATACTTCGACCCCATGTAATTAACATTCACCTCTGGCGGGATCAGAATAATGTAATGCATCGTAATTTATTAGGAAGTCCTGAACAGAAGAGAACATTTTGACTAACTGGACTTGGATGGGAGGATAATTTTAAAATGTATCTTAAAAACGACAGATTAAGTCGGTGTAGATTGGATTTATCTGGCTAAGGATAAGGGCAGATGTCGGGCTTATATTAACACGGTAATAAATAATCTGGTTCCATAAAAGGCGGGGAATTTCTTTACTGTATGAGCCACTATTAGCTTCTGAAGAAGGACTTCTTTAAGCAGTTAGCTGGAAGACGTCTGTCATCAGGCGACGAGTAGGTGATCGTGTTTATCGCCCTGATAACAGCCATCTTCTGGAGGCAGCAAGGACCTCTGAACGTCGGTAAACATCTACCAGAGTTCTACAACCCAGAAGACAGAAATCTTCGTAGTCACCGCCGTGAAAACCTCACATCGTAATGAGTTAGTTAAGAAATCTACAGGATATTGAACGCAGGTCCTTATCCAAGCAATAAAGTCAATATGGTAATTTCCTTCTCGCTGACAAATGGAATATATTATTCAACTTTAAAATTAATCTGAAGGTAGCAAGTAACAGATAAACTTGATGGCTTTCAAAAAAAAAATCAAATTCTAGTGACGAGAAGCCGAAGTGTTCAAGCAACCTTCTACGGAAGAAGATCCAACTCCCTCCGTGACGCTTCGCTGTGGCCATAACAGCGTGACCACGCGGCCAGCAATGCAAACAACCACGGATATTAACCCCGCAAAAGTGGAACAACGAACTCTCCTTAGCATGTGCTAATTGTTTCGTTAAGACTTTATACCAAGACTCCTCAAGGCCCTTATTATTATTCTCTAAACCACAAACAATACGCAAAGCTTACGAGAGCGGGCGCAAATCGTGTGGGGGGGAGGGAAATATTTTTAAATAAAAATAATAAACATCCCTCGACCTCCCGCATGTGTACCAAGTAACGTTGGAGATCGAGGTATTGACGGAAGGATGATATTAAAATGGATTTAAATAAAATATTTTTAAAGTCTGAAATGGATTCTACAGGCTCAGGCTACAGGGAGATTGTGTCGCCTTGTGAGAACGGTACATAGCATTCTGGTCCCACGAAAGAATGGAATTTGTTGACCAACCATGTGACTTATCAAGTTTTCTAGAAAGACCTTCAACCGTGTGGGGTTAGATAAATCGTGGAGATAAGTAGTAAACACTACTCAAAACAAGGGTTTATCAGGTTTTGGTAACACGACGTTTTTAAATCGGGGGAAAAAAAACAATTCGTGTGACCTGTAAAATGCATTAGCTGATTGTTACATATGGACACGCAAGCTTGTCAAGGCACGAAACTTGGTAGCACTGCACATCATTTTAAAATCACAAACAATAAATCAAAAAAAAAAATTTAAACATGGGGGTTGCGAAATGTAAATTTGCAAATGCACATTGGCTTTCCTTGAAAGCAGCTGTTACTTTAATCATCGTTTCGTGTAAGCAAACTTAGCTATTAGATTCGCCATTTTCGTTCGCATGCTGACAGATTCGTTCCATACCGTTAAACGAGGTACATATGACTTTCTTTTAAATTGTTCTAACAATTTTACAGCATTTGTAGCAAGAATCGATTTCTCTACTGTGTCCAAAAGTGGAGGTACACACACACACAGATGATTTTCAGGACTGACGATGGAGGCAGTATGCTCACACAGACAAAATACTACACGGCCCAACAACTCAGAATGTTTTCACTCTGCTACGAAAACCTCAAATTCTGTATATTTCTTCGGTAATAAAATTTATTTACTTCATCCTGTAAAGACCTCCTGAAGAATCTTGTCCACGTTATAAACCTGTTATGCTTCTAACAGAGCTCAACGCGAGCGAATTTGTTAAATTTTCGGGTACAACTTTGACGGAAAAGAAGTTCACATTACATTCAGCCAAATGCAGTAATGTATTTTAATACGAGAAATAACATTAACATAAATTTCAGACGTACATTCTGTGTGGATGTAAAGTCTCTCAGGATCGTGTCCAAGCGTGTTTTCATGAATCAGAACAATTAATAAACGCTGTCAGCTCTTCGTGTCCAAGCGTGTTTTCATGAATCAAAACAATTAATAAACGCTGTCAGCTCTGGAAAAAAAAAGGTTGCCGAAATCAGATTATAACAAACAATGAAGAATAGCTAACTTTTTCAGATACAACGTCGTCAAATCAATAAATAAATAAATAATCAGAATTTTAGGTTATCACTGCGATGTAGATTACACGGCGCTACAATCCTAGAAGACAGCCATCTTAAACCAAAAAATACACAAACATAAACAATGGACCTGAATAAATCAGTTTCGACCCTCGATAGAGCCAGAAATTGTTATATTTGCCACTAAGTCCAGACCATCTCCATTAATTTGTCTTCTGTTCTGTATTTATGCAAAAAAAAGGGGCACCAATATGGCATACCATCGCGTACCAACAGAAGAAAAACATATTGGTTGCGCCTTGAACAGTATTTTGATGTTTGAATTAAGCCTCGTGCGGAAACAAAGGTCGCTGACATACCATTGTTTTTAAATGATCTGACTGTAGAGTCTTCTTACTAAGATTTCTTCAGCTTGATAAAAATTAGCCGGAGAGAAGACGTGAAACTCGTTCATATACGTGATAGGTACTAAGAGTCAAGTCTGTAGGCATAATTTGAAATGTACTCGGTTTCTGAACGTTAATAACATAAACACATTTAAAATAACAGCCTTGCGTTACAAATACGGGATTTCCTTTTCATGATTTCAACATATGAAAAACCGATATCTGACAGACTAGAGGTTGGAATAAATAAGACCCCGATAAGACATTTTCTGGCATATTAAAAATGTAAAAATTGTACATTCAACTTTAATCATTTGGTACGTCACTTTACTGGAAGTAACGGAAACCAGCATTAAGTTGTCACAAGTAACAGAAAGGATACGTGTAACAAACATTCCTGAGAGAAGAGACACAAGATTATCACTTCACTCCCCTATCGCGATATTAGGCCTGAGTTCAACAGACTATATAGAATTTAAAGTAATTAAGACATTAGATTCACTAACTAATTACCGACGTAAATAAATGCTTATTAACTCGTACTAAACACTGCTTGGTGATATTTCATAACCCTAATGACTTAGGCGGCAAGCATCTCTTAAAGGTCGGTAAATTTAACCAGATAAGGCGCAACATACAATCCAACCTTAAACCATGTTTTAATACGTCGCTTAGGAAATGTTTCTTTGCGTCATTCCATAACCCCATTAAAGTCAATCTGTGTACACGATCCTATCCAAGTTAAAATAGTTACAAAGAATGTTAAAAATATTCGGAACACCTGTTGCTTTTCACCCATGGCGGGTCTGGTTACAAACTGCTTTCTCGTACAAAATGATCATAATGCGACACTGTCAACAAAAATATTGTTACGTTTACATGTTTATTCACCTTTCATAAACCGTGATACCGAGTTGCTGAACTCTCGCAATACACCTGCCTAAACTGCATGCAGCGTCAGATGGTGTACGAAAATTCTTCCTTGCTAACTGTTCTTATACACAGACACACACACACATAGTATACTACTTGAATTGGACTCACCTACTGCAGATACCACGGATATTTGAAGGTTAATCCCATATAAAACATGTTACAGAATACACAAACTAATTTATCATTTGCTAATTGTACTATTTTTATTTAAAGCAGCTCACTTGACAGGCGTTCTTACACTGAACACAAACGCAACACACATAACCACAACGCTTGACAGCAGGATTCTGAATGACAAGGCCTCTGGCCCGTAGCTCCATAGAGAAAAGAACGGTAAACAGGTGAACTTCATGGCCACGGCGGAAATTTCAACATGGCTTACTGCAAGCAGGTCGGACATAGAGAATGCAGAAGATGAACGCCATTTTAATGCACGAACAACAATCTTTAACAGTCCTACTTAACCTATTATTTTATTAAGCTCCAGCATATTGTGAAAGAGTATTTTCTTTCTTAACACAATCTCCAATGAAAAAATCCCTGTGATTAAAAACGGTAACTTGTACAACAGCAGCAATCTTCCACTTGCCATTATTAAAATTGTTAAAATCTTCCAGGCAAAGAACAAGTAAAAAAACAAAGTATCCAAATTCTCATTTTAAAAAATTATCACTAATGTACATATCCCATCTGCAAAAAATGAGTTGACTGTATCCTTAAATTTTCAATACTGTAGTATAACATGTCACAGTATCCTTGCATAATCCGACTCGCCAATATGCAAGGTTTCAAAGAATTATCTGAGCTTCAGTCTTACAACCACCTAACTCAATGGAGCAGCATGCTTCCTGAAAAACCTTCACCATTAGGGCAATGATCAAGGCAGTAAGCCCCTCTGAAATGTCAGTACCAAACCTTCTATAGATTGCAATATCCCAGAAGGCAGCCACCTTCATATTCAACACTTGAGAACTTCAAATCTCAACCAATGTTTTTTTAAATTCCTCCACGGAAAAGACAAGGGCAAGACCTTAAAATTGGCAAAAAAAATTCCATATCCCTCATAAACCACCATTAGGTTTCTGCAACATTAAGGCTAGGAACAAAAGCTGAATTAAGTGCATTTTTAAGCAATTGGATCAGGAGGGCAAAAGCACGAACTGCATATGTGCACCAAGCGGAATATTTCAACTTGAGAGACAGGAAGGAGAGAGAATTACATTAAAAGGAGATTTGTAACTTTACTCATTAAATTTTATTAGGGTAATCAAATCAAGAAGTGAGATGGCTTGATATGTAGCATCCATCAGAAAAATGAGAAATGCATACAAAATTTTAAGACAATAAGATTTGGGCAGTGTTTGCTAAACTAAGTCAACTCAACCCAATTCATTTCTTATTATTATTATTTTTTTTTATTTTTACCTATCAAAACGCACAGAACAGAATCTTTATTTAGAAGCTGATAACTGTTCAGCTAGTTAATAAATTACCTGCTTCCTACGAAACCAAAAGGTTCATTATCATGTTCACAACAGGCGACAACTGGACACTATTGATCACCACAACCATCCAATCCACATATTTACAGCCTATTGCTTTAAGATTCATTGTAATACTATTCCCCATCTTGGCACTGAATAACCATAGCCGTTGAATGTCCAACAAAATACTGAAACACAAATACCGTAAAACAGAACATTGTAATACCAACACTGCAACAACATACTGTAATACTGATATGTCATTACCAAACATACCAAATTTCATTTGTACGCATTCTGGTCCGTCAAAGTAAAGAGTTCCGTCACTGAAAGTGCAAAACAAAAGCTGGAAAAAAGAGGGAAATCGTGTTGTTGATAATATCGGTATCAATTCCCTCACTTCACTTCATCAACCAACTGGTCCACATTTTTATTATTTTAAATGTAATAATAATAATAATAATAAATCACCACTTTGAACAGTTCAAAACATTGTCTTATTCATACTTCCATCATCCACTCTTATTTTTTTTAAATAAAATGAACAATATTGTGCAAGATACATGCCAACAACATAGCCAAGCCATTTCTGATACAATCAATTCATCAGTCAACCAAATGTCATTTTATGCTGCTAATATAAACACTGACCAACAAGTAATAACATGTTTCTCACTGGGGTGACAGTCGTTAAACAAGGCCGAATACATTTGCAAATGGCAGTTTCAGAGTTCACAGTTCCAGGGGTGCAAAAATCGTATATTCATTTACTTTAAACATACAGACACACCCTAATAAAAGCTGCAAGGTTCGCCATTTGCTTCACACAGCATTATTTACAGACCCTCCACATATGACCTTTTAACATGACATGCAGTCCAGCCACAAAAAAGGGGAAAATTAAGGCAAATATACCCTACATAGACGGCTGTCTTCTGGGTTGTAGAAGTTTGCCATTTCTGAGGTCCTTCCTGCTTCCACCATCGAGGCGACGAACAAATACGTGGGCAGCAAAAAAACTCCAAAACAATGGTAGACTTCTACCAGACTATATGGACCCTCAACCAAGAAGACAGCCATCTTTGTACTCACTATCATGAAAACTTCAAATCCTACACCCTTCATAATACAGGATATGAACAGATATTTCTTTTCTGTAGAGCTATACCTCCGCTCCTCCACTCGTCCGCATGGCATGGTTAAACACGAGGACTTTACTCTTACCATTTCACCTTGATTTTGGCGACTGTAAACCAGAACTAATTTTCACATATTTTTAGCAGGTTTCAAGCTTCTGGATTTCATCTGCTTTTATCACTGTGCCAGACTTGATAGCATGCAGATAATTTATTTCTTGATAAATGTCACAGATTAGTGGCTGACATGTTAGGTACCACCACAAAAAAAACCCATCATTTCAACAGAAAATTGAGAAAGGAAATTTAATGAAAGAAAGTTTCATAATTTTTGAGTGCTATGGGGAGCTGGTTTGTCTACACACGCGAGAACATTTCACAATATCATGATGATAAGTTTCTCAATTTATTAAACTCCACTAGGCCCGTTGTAACAAAAAGTACGATATTTTGCTCTAAGCACCATCCGCTTTAATGTTCAACACCCTGACAATTCACACAGTGTATCGTGCAATTGCCGATATTCCCCCGACAAAATTTTGAAGAAGTTAGTGGAGCTTAAATAAGAAATTAAACTGTTAAGTAAAACAGATGATGCCATGCAGTTAATACAAAAGCAGGAAACTTGGTTTCTGGCTGAAAGACCAGTGTTCAATTCATGGCAGGGGCCAGAAAATTTTCCTTGTCCACACCAGTTCTGGGACCCTCCTACCACCTGGCACTAGGGGCTTTTTTCCCCCAAGGAGCAGAGCAGCCAGAACATGAAGCTGACCACTCAGCTCTATCTATGACAAGGCTAAGAATGTATGGAGTTATATATCCACTCCCCCATACATCTTCAAGGTTTGGTGCTTAGTTAAGCACAAACCTTAAGAATTTCTTGTCAAATGCGGTTATAAAAAGGTCATTTTGTAACCTACGAATACAAAGTCATAGGGGTAGGCGAGTTATTTGTTGTTTACACAAAACAATTTTTTGTACATAAATAGCTTCATTATTATTCCAAGTAATCTTGGGCTCTACTTACATGATCTTTATTGTTTGGTACACCCAAAAATTTTTACTTCACTGTCAACAGAACTGCGTGGATCCCAGCCTATAACATCTACTTCTGACATAAAAGGATCACTTTTGGACTCGTGAACAAAAATGTCTTATACTTCACTATCATAAATATTACAGCTGCTTTTGTATTCCATAATAAAACGATAGTAAGCGTGGAACACCTGCAAAAAACCATGAAGTTAGGTATAATATGGAACACCACGATAAAGACAAAAAGTAAAATAGAAATCCACACTTGTAGTACCTGTCAGTGAACTAGTGACCACTGATTCCATCTGCCAAGAAGCAGCGTAATTTTAAATCAGAGTTAATTTGGAGTAACAAGAGATGTGGTTATATACAGCGACTTTTTTTTCGATTACATGAGCATCGCATAAAATATTTACAGAATTATTATAAAATACCGAAATTTTAAAATAGTTATTAACTTTGGTAAATAATTTAATGTTATATATGAAAAATTTAAAGCATAGCAGTTCAAAAAAAAAACTGTCCTGTTCTTCCAAATACTGGTATCTTCAGACAGGAAACGAAAATCACAATTGCTGGCCACCAGTGGCAACCATATAAATTTCAGCTGGTACCCAGGGGGTCGGCTTTTGGAGATGCGGACGCAGTTTCATTAACTGAGATTCGCTCACTACCACATGCTACTTATCAGATCAGTGGTGTCAGAATTTTATTTCAGCTCATCAAAGTGGCCACCATTTTGAACTTTCTGAATGCAGGAATATCTTACAATTTTTTTTTGGGGGGGGGGGGGGATAATAATATTTATCTGGCTACCAGACTTTCAAGACACGCTGTCAGGTAATGTGTCAGCGAGATTCACAACTTCTCAGTTGCTTTTGCATTATTACATCATCATCGCACAAATCGTGGGCACATACCACTGTTTTCACTCCGGTATTTAACTGAACATAAATCATGTTAAATGTGACTACACGATAAAAGTAAAGAATATCTACATTTTAACGCACAGTGAATCAACAACAGTCCAACAGTGTTAAAATATATAATTACTGCAAGAAATACTAAACATTCACAAGAAGACATGAGGCTTTCAGCAGCAGCAGCAGCAAAAGTTGGCTTCCACCTACATAACTATGCAATAAGATCAACTCAAGATTTCTACATGTTAAGGAACTACTCCCACCTGCTTCAAATTGTAGCGTGCCATTTAAGATCATATTTTATTTGAATGAATACTGTGCATTTGCCCAACATAATTTCATCTCAAAATGTAAACAGGAGTCAATTCCTTTAGTGCCCAATTAGTTTGCAACCGACTACCGCAAAGTACAACATATTCAGCCACTTCTTAACCAGAACTGGCCATAGATTCATCATTAATTTCATACGCAGTTTCCAAAGTTTGTTACAATTTTTGCACCCCTGTTCTCTGATATCTTATTTCAATAAAGCAGATCACATTATATTAAACATTACAACGAAATGGAGAGAGGAATGATAAAATGTTTAAATATAAATATTCTCAAAAGGGTGTGTGACGGTTTCAAAGTGTGTGTGAGATCCTCTAATTAAAATTAATAATACGGAGTCATGTACACACATTCCGAAACAACTAGGTTAGTCTGTGTTTCAATCTGCACTACAATATTAACATACTGGGTAACAAAAACAAAGGCTGGCCACAGCTGAAATTAACAAACACATCACATAAAAAAAATATTGTTAAGGTTGAACAAAACAAATTATACCAATTACTTATGTGGGTCAAGGATATGAGGTTAGTCAGCTAACAGTTTTTGCCTACAAACAGAAAGTAAGTCTGAGATTTTATTGCAAGCATTTGTACGCATAAGACCAAAAATTAAACAAAAAAAAAAAAAAGGGGGGGGGGGAAGAAAAGCATCGTTAAATTACACTACAACAGCCGCGTTAACTTCTTATTCCATGAGCACAATATGTACTGCTCACTGTCTATGGAATCTACCTGCCACGTGGTGGAAATCAAAAGAAAATTAACTACCCTTCTTGCCTATACTTACGAAAATCTTTGTTCACAATTTTCACTGTATATTCAATTTTCAAATCTTTTGATTCTTGTTTGGCTCTTTCACAATTCCCTTCTATAACTTTATTACTACAAATCTGTACGAACTTTAAAAATAATTTTACAACAGACATAACAGAGCGGTGAGCATCGCTGTCCACCGGGAAATACGGAGGTCCCAACATATTCCCAATCCCATAAGGAATTTGTAATCCTGTTGGGTCCAACCACACTGTCACTTCACTTCACAGGCTTGCCACCAGACTGCATTGCATCACAACATACGCGTCTCTTGCAATTTCATGTGTATCGCGGGTGGCAAGCCACTGCTGGAAGGTTCATAACTTGTGATTGGACGTGAGCCAGGTCAGTCCCTCATATAGGCCATCGCCCGTTGTTGCACACGAAGGCTGGACATGCCAATTGCGGTCACGTATCCGTGTGAGCCCCAACTTCTCCTGGATCTCATGAGGCTTCATTGCTACCAACAGAACAATAAATCTGAGTCACAGATCCTGTATATGTCTTCAAGACTGCTACAAGTATTTATACAACCAACATGGGAGAGAAGCGGTGATGTCATCAACTGCAAAATTACATCTCGTATGACAACAGCGAAAATCATCTTTGATCTTAATAAAAAAAGTATACACATACTTACACTGAAAAGCTTCTGCTTTACAAAGCTACAAACAGTGAACATCTTGACATCCATGGAGTTGATCAAAACATCGGGAAAAAAATCACGTGGAATTTCAGATTCTCGCAATAGCAAGTAAGAAGTTGAAATTGTAGTCTCGTAGAAGTTGACCAACGTTTCAGAGGTGCTTACTGCCTCCATCATCGTCACCCTGATTGAGGCAGAAAGCGCCTCAGAAACATAAGTCAACTTCTACGGGACCATACAGCGCAACAACCCGCAAGACAGTCATCTTCATATTTTGCAGGCCCGAGAGTTTGAAATCTCGCCTAAAACATACGAACTCTCTCAAAGTTCATGGTCAAGTTCACACACTTCACTCACCATCAGGCAAGTCCTGCTTGTTGGCAAAAATGAGTATGATGGCGTCCCTCATCTCCCGGTCGTTGATTATCCTGTGAAGTTCTTGCCTTGCCTCATCAATACGATCCCTGTCTGCACAGTCCACAACAAAGATGAGGCCCTGCGTACCTGTATAATAGTGTCGCCACAGAGGCCGGATCTTGTCTTGTCCTCCTACATCCTGCAATAAAATCACATCATTAATTTTGTCACGTTAAAGTAAATTTTTTCTAAACAACTATAAACCTTATATTTATAGAATTTGGTACACATTTAGTTAAGGGCTTTCTGTATCTACTGAATCTTTCTCACAGCAATATACATGCAAACCAATTTTTTTATAATTATTTTCTAGAAGACTAATTCAACAAACTTGACAGAAAAATATTTAATAAATTCATGGCTACATCAGAGATGTAAAACAAGTCAGTTACTTCACAAACAGTATATTTATTGGTACAAATTTCAGAGTTCTGAGAAAAATGTCAACTGTAAACTTCTCAAGAAGGACTCTCCCTCATTGAGTTTGAGTTACGCTACAGACAATAACCCGTACCACAACATAATTCTCTAGCTACAAGGGACTTGCGACTTCTAAATGACATACCGTAGTAAAATAATAAAAATGTGTCATACTTACCCAAACATTAAATTTAACATTCTTATATGTAACTGTTTCTACATTAAACCCTACGGTTGGTATCGTTGTTACAGATTGACCTAATTTCAGTTTGTACAAAATTGCTGAGTAGTCTGTTAAGGGAAACAATACTCCAATGATAAAACATGTTTATTACTTTTTGTACTTTACTGGACTTGAAGCCATTTTATTTACATGTCAATGCATCGTCAAGCTGCAGATGGAGGAAAATGCCCTCAGATATAGGCAGTACTTGTAAACACATTGTGATTTTATTAAAGAAGCAATTAGGATATACTTGCCATTTTGATGTTCTTAAGAGCATTTGTTACAATAAAACACTAACCCCTACCTTCTTTGTTCGTAACTCTTACCTAATAGGTTTTCAACTGCAAGAATCATCCTTTTATGCGTGAGAAGCGCAAAAGTGTACGTGTCATAGTTCAGTTTTATCACATGTGGGAAATTCTGAGCAGAGTAAAATCTCCATCTCAGCTCTATGGAGCACAGCCCTTGACGAACTAATGGTGCGCTCAACTAGTCATGAAATTAACCACCTTCTATGAAACCTGAAGGCTCATTACCACATACACAAGAGTAGCCCCACTCTGAAGGACAATCCACTTTAATGTCAAAAAATTTCTCAAGCAGCAGGGTTTGATGTCAACAATTCAGATGTAGGATTCTGTACTATTTTCTACATCAATCTATATAATTTCCTTATTATCTTTGTTTGTTACTTATCTATTTATTAATGATTCATCAACTTCACAGCATTAAAAGTCACAATCATTATGAATAATGATCAGGCAAGTGTGTGACGAGAAATTCATGCGGACTTCTTTAAAACGTATTATCAGAACATCTGCGTTGGGAAACTGAAGAAAACAATGAAAATCATAATCAAAAACCTCCAAATTTGAAAAGAGGTCGGCAGAAGGAGGAAACAATAAAGAAAAACACCACCACCTCAAAGAAGGATATTCATTCACTGTACACAATCCTCTGCTATTAACTCTCGGCAGAGCAACAGAAGAAACTACCGTCTCTGTGACTGCAAGTAACATCATCAAACTGACAAAATTGTAAAGGATACTTGTTTTCCCTGCGGCATCCAGCCCCAACATGAGTATCCTCATCTCCTTATTACCGAAAATCTTCGACAGCAGCTTGCCCATCTCGACCCGGTCAACTGTGCAGGCCCTGCAACAAAGAAATCAAAACATTACCAATCAACTGCAAAGGTTAACAACACCAAGTGAAACAGACGTGTCGTGAACCGGAAATGCCCGAAACAGAACTGGTTACTCACAACACAAGTACGAACAGGCGCCATAACACCAACTCACTGTCACCACGGTTACAGACCAAAATACAGCTACAGTGTTATGCCATTATTCACATTTTGTTAACCATAACCGTGTACACAGTTTTCATTCTCACGCATAAAATAATGATTCTTACAGTTGAAGGTAATGAATCTTTGGGTTCCCAAAAAGGTGCAGAATTTCTAGACTAGGGAGCAACTATTAGCTTGTCAAGAAGGACTCTGATCCATGGAGTTAATTAACATTTGGCAAGAAGTAAAAATTATGAAGCTACTCATTATTTTCTCCATCCCCCCATCAATTCATCCCTCTTACATCTAAATCTTCTCCTCAACACCCTGTTCTCAAACACACTCAATTAAGTTCTTCCCTTATGGCAAGAGACCAACACAACCTTCCTTAGCATACTGAAACCATCACCAGCTTAATCTAATCCATGCAGGGTAAAATCCAACTGATGGATGTTATTACGTTATTCGCCGTGAGGCAGAAACAGTTAATGGCCATGATCAAGTAATGGGAGAAAAGGGGAACTGCTAATGAGTCACAAATCTACGTGCCACTCTAATTACATTAAACACTGTGGTCTTGTCTCGCTGATTCCAGATTCGCTTTGGGCGGTAAATGACAGGGCTGAAAAGGTGGTATACATGTACGCCAATCAGAACTCAAATTAACATCCAAATGACAACCAAAAATGCCACGAATACTGTGTACCAATTCCCTTTGCAATGTTCAGATAATCTTCTTGACACATTTCATTTATATCGCCTAATTGTAGCGTGACTAAAAATGGAAAATCAAGCTTCATAAATTAAAGGCATGGAGACATTTGGAGATAAAGGAGGTATAGCTCTTACTCATTCTTAGATCTCAGCATTAGTCAGTAATTTTCTTTAACAAAATCAGTCATTAGCAAAATACCCAACACTGTTTTAACTTAATTACAATCTTTCAATACCAGGTTTAATGTCTGTCACCGTGATTCACACAATCCCTTCGAATGCCCGTCAGTAAGAGTGGTCATATTTCTTCATTAAGCTGAACAGCTGTTTGCCACGATACTTACTGTAAAGTACTGATGCCACTAAGAAGACATGTTTTCTTACATCGGATATGTATTTTATATTACACAGGGCAAAATATTTTTACAAAAAATATGATGGACCAAACAAAACACATTGGCATGCCGTGTAACATCTCCATCTAGAGTGTTACCGCTACACTACTCTGCTTGGCAGTGAGTCTAACGCAACTGAAGGAAATGGTGGGCCTACATCGGAGCAGACAGTAGACAATTTAGAAACAAATTCCCTAACATATACTCTACATACGTAACGACTAAAACTGAGACTCTTGGCAATTAGTCCAAATGCTACACAATTAGTCATTACAGTTGCAAAATACAGTCACATTCAAAACTGATGTCACATACAGTCTGCAACACAACGAACCTCCTCACTGGTAATGATCGTCGCACGGCTGAGCAGGCAGAAGGTGAGAGGCTTATCTCCCATTAATGAGTATCACAAATACAGTCATCCCCATAAAGTATAACACCCAAACCACCAGAAGCCGTGTTTCAAAATTTAAAAACAGGGGCTTAAACGTAAGTAAGATATCAACAAGGCTATTTAAATAATTCAAAAAAACAGCAGACACATGGAGACTTGCATTCTGGAGATAACCATTTCAATCTTGGACAAGTTATCAGCTGTTTTGGTGGCTTCAATATCTCACAGCGTTTAGATTAAATTGTATATCAGAACGACGAATTTCATTTCAAGCTTCCTGTATAGATATTTGGCAGATGCTTCCTGCATCGTTATGTGAAGATAATTGTGTTCTTGCAATGCAAAGATCCCACATCAAAAGCTTGCATCGAACAATTAAATACAATTCGGAAAACCTGTGCAATACAAGGGGCCATGGATTGAATTCAGAAGCGTCAATGGAGAGAGAGAGAAGTCCAAACTTACTGAATGACTGTACGTTTAATCTGAAAAAAAAAAGCGATTACACGATTTATCTTATCTGTCACATATTCGATCTTCCAGCAAAACTACCAAGACTCAAATTCAAACCAATGACTGATGTTGAGATTTCTAACTTGAATTTTTATCTTAAAAATAATGAGATGAAAGTACTTCTTAGCCGTAACATTTCTACTGAGTTGTGTTCGGAAGTCAAATAAATGATTTACACGTTTCAAAATGTCCACGGTAAACGCCCCCATTATCGCAAAAAATGTCCTTATTGACAGTAAATTTTCAGGTGCACACGGCAAATCAGATAGCGTGGTTCCTTATCTGGATGGGGGGGGGGGTTTATATCATGGATTTAACTAATTAAAAATCGTTAATTTAAAAGATCCGAGGTTTGCACAAGCAGAAAAGATTAATGTTGAGTATAAATATACATGTGCAGTAGAGTTAGTGAAAATTATTCATCTACCTTAAAAAATGTGTGAAAATAAAAATGTTTGATTTTGTTTATGAATGCTTGCAATTTACAATATTCCTTCGGGGTAGATCAAACAAAAAAGTGGAACATACAAATATTTAACAGTAAATTTTCTTTTAAATAAATGACAAGTATTTTCTAAATTTATTACTCACTCACTTTAAACAAGAACCAAACTTTTTATTAATCAGAAAAATAATGTCAGCAACAAATAACTATCAATGCCAATGTGGTATATAATACAGCAAAGATTTCATTCAGAAAATGTCTGTACTCTAAAGCAGTGGTATTCATCCTGGGGTACGCGAAGACATCTTAGGGGGCACGTGAAATTTAAAATAATATATATTATTTTATGAGAAACACTGAATAATCAGTAATGTAATTAATTTAATTTATTTTAGATGTAGATTATATACTATGTATAACTTGACTTATACACCAACAACTTTGGGGGGTACAAAGTTGAAGAGAAATTATATGTGGGGGTACGCGAAGACATCTTAGGGGGCACGTGAAATTTAAAATAATATATATTATTTTATGAGAAACACTGAATAATCAGTAATGTAATTAATTTAATTTATTTTAGATGTAGATTATATACTATGTATAACTTGACTTATACACCAACAACTTTGGGGGGTACAAAGTTGAAGAGAAATTATATCTGGGGGTACGCGAACAAAAAAAGGTTGAATACCACTGCTCCAAAGCCTTCTGTTGGACACACCAAACACCCTACAATAACAGACTATGTTAACCGATGAAGTAAACAACTCAACCCATTTCGTAACACTCAACTTACACGAAAATTTCACAGCAACTCAACTGATTGATAAGTTCCTAACCTTCATAGGATCCAAACCTTAAGCCGCCATGTTCAAAAGAGCTCATCAGAAAGCAGTTCAATCAACACCTTCACATCCTGTTTCTCAAAGACCCAATTTATTACGCCATCATTAGATCTCTAGAGTCGTCTTATACATCTCTTTGCACCGAAATAGAATCTGCATCTTTATTCGATCACGCGTGAAACACATCTCATCCATTTCATACTCTTCGACTCAATAACCTCCCTAATATCTGGTACACGGTACAAATTATGAAGCTTCCAATTAAATAAATCTCTCATTCCTCCTGCTATCTATCCGATGATCAAATATCTTCCAAGAAAACTTTGTTCTCTCTTGTGAAGTTCAAATGTCCCTAGAAGACCCTCCTCTGACTGAAACTTAAGACACGGCTTCTGGCTGTAAGAGGGCGGGGTAAAAGCTTCTGCGAAAGTCAACTGTGAGGGTCGCGTACTGACGTTACCCCCGACGTCATAACGAGAGACAGAATGGGTTCAATAACACTAGATTTCTCCATCACATCCCAAAGAGCTCCACGTGCCTTGCGATAAGAGACGGGCAACCACACTTAACCATTCAACTCACGAATCAACACCGGACGGTCAGGCACTCCTGTTTCATGTTCCGGGGGGTCCCGCATCACCGTCAGCGTTTTCTAAGTTGTTCCTACCTTCTGGCTTCACGAACAAAATGTGACGTGTATCTCCCGTCTCCGATACGCGTGCTACATTCCCCCTATCATCTCACCCTCAAAGAAATATCCCGTGAAAAGTGTTACTCGATTTTCAGTTTCGTCTAACCCTTCGAGGTTCAGCACCTTCAATCAATCAAGATTACCTCTTTCATTTTAATACCAGGCCGGATGATCCAGAGTCCTGATAAATTTAAAGCGCAAAGCGGAAATCTCTAACGAGCCCTTTTCCCGGAAATAGTAGTACCACGAACATCGCCGCTTGCATTCTCTCTCGATGAACGAACAAGCGAGCTACCAGACGCATTTTATACGAAAATACGTGGAATCCCCGACAATTAATTTAACCACGAAAAACACCGCCAATATTCAACATCGATTACGATTAAACTTTGGCATAATTTCTTATTTATGCTTCAGAATGGTCGTCCCGTAGCGGTCTCTGCGTGGGAACACGACGACGAAACTCGCGTAGTCCACAAATGAGCAGAAGTGACTTTCATAGTTGCCTCCCACCCCAACTGTGGCAGAATCTTGAGAAAGCGAGAATGTCTTGACATGTTCTTCGTGAAATTTCGTCGGACGTCCTTCGACATCCCTCCCAATTCGTGTGTCTTCAAACCTAACCGACAACGTCCCTGAATAAACCACAAACAAACACGAACAGTCCTTTAATGGATTTTAATTATAAACTCCAAATACGACACGTCTATTACAAGTTTCATTTAGTGCAGTGCACTTAAGGTCCACACCAGGGCTGGAAACATTATTTTTAGTACATCTTGCAGCTTTAATACGAGAGTACACAGCGAACGCCACCAAAAGTGTTCTCCGAATCTGCCTTAGACTCGAACGACTTACACAGAT